ACACACACACACACACATATTCTGAGGAGCGGCAACCTTTCTCTGAGGGCCCCCCTCAAAAAAAGCCGCACTCAGCAGCACCAGCTACCCCCACCACAATAGAGGAGGAAACTGCGAGGTGAGCCCAGGCAACCTCCAGAGCCCAGGAGGCTGAAGCAGAACAAAAATGAGGCGGAGGAGGAGGAGGCAGGCACTGAGGTGGCCACTGGCCGGCCTGGTGCTGAGGGTGCCAAGAGAGAAAGAGAGCCAGAGAGCAGCTTCCCTGGAAGAGGCGGCAGCAGCTGCTGTTGGTAGCTTGGAGGCGCTCTTTGAAGACGGGCTGGGAGTGCGCTCTACTCTCAGGCATCGCGCGGTGGTGGCGGCGGCTCGGGTGCTGGGGAAAAAGGGCTGGCAGCACGCCTCGCTCGCCGGCTCTCCCCCAAGACAGCGCCCCTTGCACCCTCCATCTGAAACTGAAGCCTGCCAGCTAGCAGACAGGCGGGCTGGCTAGCAGGCTGCCGTTCCGGATGGAGGGGGCATGAGGCGCTGTCTTGGGAGAAACCCATCAAGCAAGGCGAGGCTTTTTTAGACTCTTGACAGCAGAGGATGCATGGGCGCTTCAGGGGGGGCAGGCAAGGTGGGGGCCGCAAACCATCATCTGGCGGGCCGCAAATGCCCCCCGGCTGCATGTTTGAGACCCCTGTTCTAGAAGAAACATAGTAACCGAAGAGGCATTTAAGTAACATTGAGTGCCTGCCTGTCTTGGAAGTCTTGGACAGCGAACCAACTTTTGCAGAAATAAAAGTTGCCTTGGATTTCCTCACCTCCGGCAAGGCACCTGGGAAGGATAACATCCCTGCTGAAGTGCTGTAAAGAGATCATCACCACTGAGCTGTATGAAATCTTTTGTCTTTTATGGAGGCAAGGTGGAGTACCACAGGACATGAAGGATGCAAACATCGTCACATTGTATAAGAACAAAGGAGACAGGGGCAATTGCAATAACTACCATGATATCTCTCTTCTCAGTGTTGTAGGGAAGCTGCTTGCCCGTGTTGTGCTGAAGAGACTCCAGGTGCTTGCAGACAGAGTCTATCCAGAATCACAGTGTGGATTTCGAGTTAATAGATCCACCACTGACATGGTATTTTCCCTCAG